TATGTATGTATGTATGTATGCAGGTGTGTGTATGTGTAAGTGGGTGGCTGTAAACAAGTATGCCAAAGCATGTGTGCACATACACATGATCACATGTGTACATGAACATGAACACATATCACGTATATATGCATATGATGCATCGAACGAGGCCACGGCTTCTCACCCTAAGCCACCTGAGACATCGGCAGCCAATAGGACGAGACTGGCCACCACCAGCGGATCCTTCTGCCTGAAAAAGTCGGGAGTCGCAGACACGGGGGGGAACGGTCATATAAAACCCGAGGATCATAGAAAAACTTATTCAAAACAAAACCCTTGAATAGCAACAGGGTGCCCTTCTTGTAATAAACCCCTGCCTGGGCAAAGCGGCGCTGAGACTTTCTGGGAAGCCGCAGGGATAATAACCTCAGAATTTTCCCCAAACCCTCGAAAGGCCCTGGTCCCGCCTGCAAAGGGCATAGGAAGCATAGGGTCTCGGCGACTGCATCTGCAAGAAGGGATGGAAGCTCAGGAGCCTGGCAGCGAAGCCCCACAAAGCCACTTCGAAGTCTTCGGTTTGGGTTTTAGGGTTTTAGGGGTTTAGGGGTTTAGGGGTTTAGGGTTTAGGGTTTAGGGTTTAGGGCTTTTAGGCTAAGGGCCTAGCCCAACACTTGGAGTTCAGGAACTTTTTGCCCGAGGCCCTGAGGCTCACATAGCTCCATGAACCTGGGTGGGCCCTGGCTCAAGCGCGCGGGGGACACAACTCGTCGGCCCGAGTGTGTTGTGCAGGCTTGGGCGCTTGCCTGGCGGAGAACAAAAGCGGATCTCTAGGGAGAGGGGCTTAATTACTGTTGGTGACATAACTCCTTATCATTACCTAAAGGACCCTAAACCACGGGAATTATGGCACATTCCTTGTTAATATTATGGGTAAGGCAGGACTTAGATCATCAACCGTATCTCATGCCGGAACTGCTGCCAGGGTTGTCCTCATGGCTACTTTGAAGGGCTGCTCTGAGGATTGAAGAGATGGCGATGGTCAGCGCTTCTACCTATAGTCTCCATTGTTCTTCCTTTTTTTGGTTTAACCGTTTTTATATTGAGGATCCTATAAGGTAACCCCAAAAGGAACTACAATGGAGACTATAGGTATGTAAAAACCTTTAGCTAAAGCTTAGCTCTGTTCAAAGGCTGTGGGATCCGAGAGCTTGAGGCTTGCAGGGTTCGGCGGACGCGAGGGTCTAGGGCTAAACCCTAAACCCTAAACCCTAAACCCTAAACCCTAAACCCTAAACCCTAAACCTTGGGCTTGGAGGGCTCTTCTTTTTTGGGGCAGCTCTGGGCTAGGTGCTGTGCGGAGAAGGGTGGTCGCCGAAGAACAGCACTGCTGGTAAGATGCTTGGGTCGTACTTGGAGGTTCATGGGTGGTTAAAAGTGGGGTTATAAGTAGGGTAACTGCAATTATAACCCAAATTAGGGGACTTGCAACTCCACTTATAACTACCCATGAACCTCCAAGTAGAGCTTCACCATGAATTCCGAAGGCCGGCCGTTGTCACGAAACCCCTGGAGCGACAGTCAAGGCCCTAAGCTCCAAAAGCCCAAAACCCAAAGCCCTTGAAGGCTTCGCTATAGCATGAAACCCTATACTAAAGTCTGCTAAACCCTAAACCCTAAACCCTAAACCCTAAACCCTAAACCAAACCACGAAGCAAAATTCTGTGGAGCAAGCCAGTGGCCCAGCAGTGCGCCTGCACAGGATGGCCTGATAGCTGAAGTCCAGCTCCTGTTCGATACTATATCAATACTAATGTACACATAAGATATATATATATATATTATACACATTTATTTATTCATATATAGAATGACTGCACTATAGTGGTATGTCAGATTATATTATCAAGGTCTGATTGGCCTTACACCCTGAACTCCGACCTTAGAAGACTGGGGCGACACTTCCATCTCAGCTTCGAAAACTGATCACCCATGGCGTGTCGCGGGTCCAGAAGCGCCGTGTAATCCGCCGTTGCACTGTGGCGCGAAGCTTTGCTGGCTTGGTTACACCTTAGCTGCACAGCGCCGCCTACCCAAAAAGGGAGGATCTTGGGCTTCAAGTGACAAGGTGGCCGGTATATTATATTATAATGTAATATATAATATAAAATAATATAAAATGCTACTTATATTACTTCAAGCAGACCTGCTTATGTACTGTTGTCCGTACTAGTGAAGAGTTTTGCTGGCATTACTAGTAGAGCTACTAGTGCTTCTACTGTCATAATGATGAGTACCGCTCCTCTTTCTTCACTTCTGTCGTCTGCGACTCCTGCGATTGCGGAAAGCCAAAGAACCTCTGCAAAAGGGTCCAGAACAAGCAAAACAAACTGAGGCTAAACCAACCCTAAACCCTAAACCCTAAACCTAAACCCTAAGCTGAACCCTAAACCGTCAAGCTGAGCCGGAAACCCCAAACTCCAAAGGCCAGAAGCCTTGCAAGCCCGGGATCTCCCAAACCTCTAGGGGTTCTACTTGGAGGTTCATGGGTAGTTATAAGTAGGGTTATAAGTAGGGTAACTATAATTCTAGCCCATCTTAGGGGACTTATAACTCCACTTATAACTAACCATGAACCTCCAAGTAGAGGACTAGAGGTACTAGGGGTACTAGGGGTGTGAGTAAGGGGCATTCGGGGTACTGGGCACCCAGTCACATGCTTAATACAAAGGGCCACAGAAGTTCTCAAACTGAATACTATAGGGGCCTTGATAATTGGAATAGGGCTTTGGGATATATTATACGGTAACTATAACAAGGAACCCCCACCCCAACAAAAATAGTATCTGTAATTATTTAGGCCCCAATATGATAGGGACCTCGACGGGCAGAATAGGGCCTCTTGAATAGGGGGCAGGCCCGTGCATAAGCCCCTGAGATGAGGCCCGAAACTACCCCAACCTTACTTTATTCAGGTCCCCAGAATTTCAACATTCATACTCTTACACCCGCGGTACAACAATCCAAGCTCTTACGGCCATTTCAGGTAATTACACCAGTCTCACTTAACCCCAAACCGAAAACCCAACTCCTCATTCGCGTGCAGCCCTCCACAACATCTGGGGGAAGGGACTTGTAGCAGTCACCGCGAACAAGCAGCGCCAAGGGGTACCTGGTGCGAGGGTTTAAGGATTCGTAACTCTGGGGTGACGACCAGAGTTCTATAAGGGGAGGTTCCTTTAAGGGGTTAAAAAAGTGACGCGAGTTCGATAAGGTTTGAAATGGAGAGGTTGAGGTTTCCGGCTGGAGCTTGGGCTATGAGGATCGAGGATTGGCCTTTTCGTGAAAAAGCTTTTCAAATTGTGGTCTTATGGTGTTCGGCGTCTTTTCTATCGCGCCTTCTTTCATCGCTACCAGGGTTGTGTGCTTTTGGGCTTTAGGCTTGAGGATCTGATGTTTGCTTAGAAGGGTTCCACTGAAGCTTCCAGATTTTACGGCTTCAGCTTACCAACTCATGGATTACAGTAGGGTTGGGTTTTCTACTTCAGGCCCGAAGCTTCAAAAAGAGAGCAGACTTCTGGGCACTGGGACTGTGCTGTACATCATAACCCTCATAACCTGCCTATTGTAAAGTCCTAGTATGACGGCTAGCACCGAATCCATAATCTCTACTTAGTTGGTTAAGGTAGACGTACAGGGCGTAATCTTCGAAGTCAAGCTCACTTTTCAGGCCTTGATTTCTATCCCACACCCTCTGTACACCCCGAGACCTAAACCCTAGCACAAGACAGGCACCCTGAACTCAACTCATGTGCAAGGTGCCCGAGGACAGAAGCCCTGCATCCCCAGAGCTCAGGCCTCGGGCTCCGCTTCAGCACCTGCGTTGAGAGAAAGGGAGAAGGGGGACATTCTGATGGTGTACAGATTTCTGCACTGTGGAAGCTTCTTTCTCCGACTGCTAATGCTGCTGCCGCTGCTGCTGCTGCTGCCGCCGCGGCTGCTGCTGCTGCTAAGACGGCTACGACTACTACGACTGCGACTACGACGGCGGCTACTAATACTACTCCTGCTGCTGCTGCTGCTGCTGATACCGCTGTAACAACCGTCACCAACACCGCATTGACTGCAGCTTCAACTGTACAACTGCGACTCATACTAAGATGCCAACGCTGCAACACCCTGCTGGTACTACCTCCACGACTATTGCCTTGGACCACTGCCGCAGCTACTGCAACCAATACGGTTGCCGCCTCCACAACTACGACGACGACCGCCACGCTTTTCTTGTATTTTCCATCATTGATTCTGTCTTCACAACGAGTAACAGCATGAAGACCCCTCTTGCTTCGAGGGCCAAGCTACTGTAGGTCGGGTCTTTATGTCAATACTATTAGCAGCAAAGCAGTCAGAACAAAATCTTGGACGAACACATCACGGCCAAGACTGTAATTTCAAGCACAGCCCTGCATGAAGGTTCTAAGTCAGAAGCATCGGCTGACTCGGTAAGATCCTTCAGTTTATGTGCTGCAGTCAACTCGGTATGAATCCCAGGGGCGAAGTCATATCTTGACAGCATTGACTCTGCCAGGGGACTGACACCCAGCCTGCGTGCAGATCCTGATGGCACGATCCAAGAAGCCATGCTGCTTCGTGAAGAAAGCGATCAAACAGTCCACCTGTTCTGAGGCTTAGGGTTGAGGGCCTTTCAGGATTTACGGCCAGGCATCGGAAGTTTATGCTCTGCTCCCATCCATGGCCCAACTGGGTCGCGGACCAAGTCGCGCAACCCGCAACACGTTGCAACGGCCTGAAGAGGACGGAGCTTCAAACCCCGAAGCCCTACTTGGAGGTTCATGGGTAGTTATAAGTGGGGTTATAAGTAGGGTAACTATAATCATAACCCATATTAGGGGGCTTATAACTCCACTTCTAACTACCCATGAACCTGCAAGTAAGCGCGGACAAAAACCCGAAACCCTACAACCCCCAAGCGTTGAAGACCCTGAGCCTTAAAAGGGTCGAAGCACGCAAAGAGCCTCCCAACGGATAATCCCGGTGTTGGCCTTATTTAGCAATGGCAATCACCCGCCATTGGAGAAATAGTTACGAGTCGTTTACTACCACGATACGCAGTAGTATGTCTCACAAGAACCATCAGCATAATAAGAAGAACCAATATAGTAACACGGCCAGCATCACTTGAAGCAGGTTGAATCTGAGAGGACACCGCAAGAAGCCGTCGGAGACTCTGAGGCTTCGAGATGACGTTTCTCCGCATCTTCAGCGATTCAGTGAAGGGGCACCTGCTTTGCAGGATTAGCCCCCGAGTGAGATTCTGAGATGAAAGGCTCCCTACGGCTGGCGCGGGCCGCACTTGCCGGAACGGCGGAGCCGGCTCATACTGAAAGGAGGAGGGGGTCGGATGGGCAGCCCCTCACCATCACCGACTGCTCGCGGGCCCATTCGCCCGGGATGCCGCTTGACAGCTGTCGGAGCAACTTCTTCCGTTAACTGGAGCATCTTTGGCTCCATTGCCCACTCGTAGACGCGGGCGACTACATCCGGGTAGTCCTCCTCCTCGAAGGTCTGGCCATCGTGGCCAATGCCTCGAGACGCGCGCATCCCATCCCCAACGAAGCGCTCGAACAGACCCTGAGGCAGTCTTGCAACTTCGGCACACTCCAGCCGCAAGGTGAATCTGTCTCCTGTGACCTGCGACAGCAACAGTAGCTCTCGAAAAGCAAAATACTGCGGCATATCCTGCAGAAGCATCTATGCACCCGACAGTCCGACAGCGAAAGCTCTGAGTGAGCAAAGCTGAAAAAGCACAGAGTCACAGAGGCAAAGAAGACAATGAGATGACCAGCATGCTGAACAGTGTGGGGCTCTAGCTGCCCCACGTATTCTGCCAGGCCACCGTGTCCACTCGAAGGTTGGCCAAGTGGCCGCCTTCTTTCAGGAGCTTCCTGGAGTCCGAAGCAGCGCAGTGTAGACAGAAACGGCAGGCAAGCCCGACTAAGCTATAGGCCTGAAATCCATACATAGACTCATAGACTGACTGCAGTAGTCAGTAGTGACATGAAATACTGCAAGACTGTCCTTGGAACGCCCCGGACATGCTTCCAGCGAAGCAAGCCCAACACATCCGCATTGATATCCAACAAAAGACCTTGGGCACCGCAAGGCGGCAAAAGGGCAAAAGCGGAGCCGCCCGGGGTGCAAAGCTGTAGAGTTGGAACTACCTTGCTTTAGGGTTTAGGGTTTCGGGGTTGGTTTAGGGTTAGGGTTCCGGGTTTCCCTCCATACTTTCCATAGTAAGTACTGAAGAAGTACTCTAGACAAACACCTGTCCAGCTTCGGTAACGTTGGTACCGTGCGGGGGCAGGGAGCGAAGAGGGTGAGGAGTCAGACGTCAGAACTGCGAACGAGGTGCCCAATTTGAAGGCCTTGACAATCTTGCCTCAGGTAGGTCTTAATTCCTCTTAAATCGCAGACTGCAACCTGGCCAGTGCTGCATGGTCGGCCGGTCACTGCTTCAAATCGGGGTGGCACTAAAGCAAAGGTGAGTCGCCTTCGTACATCTTCTCCTTGTTCATGGTCGCCAGGCAGACGTGCCCCTGCTTCTTCACGCCTCCCGGCAGGCGAGCGGCCTCCTGCGACAAGCGGCGCAGACGCGACGAGGCAAACCCGAGCCCCAGGAGCTGCAGGTGCTCGGCCTCCGCTCTTTGCTGTGCCGCGTGCTCTCTGGCGGCTTCGACTGCGCGCATGAAGTCGCGGTTGGCCAAGAGCCCATCGGAGTTGGACGGCGCCGGCTGTTGGAACCTGCCAGGTGGCCATGGCCATCTCTTCTCTGGGCGAGTCACTCTGTCCAAAACGTATGCCACTCTTGGAGCGCTCCGAAAACAGGGTAGGGAAGTAGAAGAGGATCGCTTGAACCCGCCGAGGCGCGAGAGGCGTGACGCTGGCATGTGCACCTGCCGGGGCAGGCCCACAAAAGTAGCTCCGAGGAAACTGCCCCAGGAAAGCCCAGCGTCAGCGCAGTGTAGACTAGCTCGAAACAGGTCGCTGCAGCATCCCGTCGCGACAAGATCACGGCTCAGCCTCCGAGAAGCTCTTCGGGAAGAAGGTTTCCTCATCCTGTGGGCAAGTCAAACAGTGAGGTAGTTCCATGTAGGCATGAGTTAAGAACGAATGGCCGGCTCGGCTAACGCCTTCGCATCAAGGCTCAGTGCTACAGACTGCTGGGTCATACTCCTTCCAACAAGGCTGTAACTGTAACTTACCCTAACCCCCCAGGTACCTACCATATAGGTTACTAGAGCCCCTAGGGCCCTATATAGTAGGTACTTGGAGGGTTAGGGTTCCCTACTTCAATCAGAGTTGTTGACGGCTGGCGCTTGATGGGAAGGGTGCCGACCCAAAATACTATAGGTGAGTAAGGAGGCCCCTATATACATTACTTCAGGCTGGGGCAGCGGGACGGTGCAGGGATACTCTGAGAAGGCACGAGCTCGACAAGACTGGTCAGCATGCCATTGAAAGCAGGAGCTGAAACAGCTGAAGTTGGGAGCAGAAGCCCCACTGGGCACTTGACACATGGAAGATGAGAGGAACAGGATCCGACAAAAGACAAAAAAACGCGATGGCAGGGTCGCAGGACCTGTGACCAAAGCAGGCAACATCCCAGCGCTCCACATCCAATCTGAGAGAGTGGTCGAGACTGCAAGCTACTTGCTTGTCCTGCTAGTTAGTCACTAGGATACTTCGAAGGCCAGAGCATTAGAAGAACAAACACAACAGCATTGGTCATCCGGATGCTGCCCTTTGTGTAGGCCTCTATCACAGTGCTGTCTGGCACCATGCGGAGGAAGGGCACGATACCATCCGAATTGGCTCGGACTGGTCCAGGCCCCTCAAACCTTGAACGACGCACTTCAAGAATCTGATGCTCCTAGCACAAGTCGACTTCGAGCTGCTTCACGCCGAGGAGCGAGGAAGTCCGCATCATGGGGAGCATCTGCCAGGCGAGATTAAAGAGGTCTCACTGACAAGATTTGCTGAGTGAGTGGAGGATGTCGGCGAGAAGGACGAGACAAGACCGGCAACAACACTTTCTGTTGATAGTATACGCTCCCAGCAGAAGCGAGCGGCAACAACAAAAACTGTTGTTAACACTAGCGCTGCCCGCCTCGAGATTTATCAAGTTTGCATACACTTAGCTGCACCTTGCAGAGACCTGCCGCAACAGTCGTGTGCCCAGCTCGTCTCACGAGGCGAGCACACGCAAAACACGGACACCCAATTTATTTTGTGGTGGCACAGCTTCCCCCATCATGACTTCTGAAATTTCTGGATTCGCCGGCGGGAACAACTCATCCCCATAATCTTCTTAATGCCTTTGTTTGTTCTTGCTACAACGTTGCAACTTTCGCCATTCTGTAGCAACATCTTGTGTTTAGTTCCATCGAGCACATCATCCCCAATATTACTCCTGAGAGAGACTCCTGACAATACTGTTTTCGGTGCTTCTGCTACTGCTACTGCTCAAGCAGCCGCGACGGCGACTACTTGTACCTGCTCTCGTCCCTACTTCCGAGCCTGACTTTGCTACGACCACCCCACGTACCAGTGCAAGTATTGCCTCTCTCGGCATTCCTCGGCAATCTGATACTGACACTAAAGTGGACTGGGCAGTCATACTGTTTGTCCTGATCATAGAGATAGGGGGATGTTGATTAGCATCGATGACGCCTGTGATGATAGCAAACGCCTTGCTGACGATGACAGTCTGATGCTGATGCTGATGCTGATGATGATGATGACCATCATCATGATGATGACGGTGATGGTGATGGTGACGGTGGTGATGATGACGATGACGATGGCGATGGCTCTGACTATGACTATGACTATGATGATGGCATGATGCCGGTGTCATTGGTTGCTTACGCTGCTCTTGATTCTAGCAATGTCCAAGATTCTCTGCGCACCATGACAAACATTACGCCCTAGGTTCCTGCCTTCACAAACATGACTGCCCTACGGAAAACACTGTGAGAATGCTACTGCAGCCAGTACGAGTATGAATGTCAAGCACGCTAAACTCATCCTATTCTAAACCAACCACCCGCGACCCCACAAAAAGCAGGCCTCGCTGTAGGCCTTTGGCATGTAACGCACCGGCTTGTCCTGCAAGCAGTCGTCAGGGCATCCAGGTTGGAAACTCGAAACCCCTGAAAGGCAATAATTACCTGTATTCTTTTGGGGTTCCTTATTATAATTATACTATAAAGAATTACCTGTATTATTTTGGGGTTCCTTCTTATAACTATACTATAAAGGACCGCAATGATCTGGAGTCTTGGCTCGTAATTCGCTTGAGAAGGCTGGAACTCGCTGGGCTGAAACTCTTGGGAGGCAAGACGCCTTTTAACTTCTTGCTCCGACTCATATTCTACTTGCTGAGGATGTGGAAGCTTTAGTAGTCGTAGTACTATAGTAGTAGTAGTAGTAGTAGTAGTAGTTGTTGTTGTTGTTGTAGTAGTTGTTGTAGTTGTAGTTGTAGTTGTAGTTGTAGTTGTAGTTGTAGTTGTAGTTGTAGAGGGTGGTAGTAGTAGTAGTAGTAGTAGTAGTAGTTAGTAATGGTAATTTGTAGTCGTCGTCTCCGTGGTCGACGTCATGGTAGTAGTGCTGGTGGAATGGAAGTGGAAGTGGCAGCGCTAGAGCCAGTGCCAGTGCCAGTGCTAGTGCCAGTGCCAGTGCTAGTGCCAGTGCTAGTGCTAGCGCTAGCGGTGGTGGTAGCAGCAGTAGTAGATGACCCAGTGTTGGTGTTAGAGCTAGTGGTAGTGGTCGTGGTGGTGGTGGCGGTGGTAGATTACTACAATTACCTTCACGCATCCGTTAAATCCCAGCCCACCTGCTCCATGACCTGGGAAGATGGAGGCTCAGCAGCTGGAGATGAGCTGGACGTGACACGAGCTGGCCTCAGGCAGTCGTGCCACCGTCTCCGTCCGTGTGTGTGTGTGTGTGTGTGTGTGTGTGTGTGTGTTTTTGTTTGTTTGTTTGTTTGTTTGTTTGTTTGTTTGTTTGTTTGTTTGTTTGTGTGTTTGTGTGTTTGTTTGTGTGTTTATTTGTTTGTTTGTTTGTTTGTGGGTTTGTTCGTTCGTTCGATCGTTCGTTCGTTCGTTCGTTCGTTGGTTTGTTTGTTTGTTTGTTTGT